TATATATATATTACAAAAAGAAATCAGACTAAATAGGCCTATTAGTTTTAACTTTCAAGACATACATTTCAATATTTAATTTGTTATGTGAGTCAAACTGACTTGATTTATTTAAATTTAAAAATCAATAGTCGAACTTGACTTTATTTATAAGTTATTCGAGTAAAGATTAGATCTATTTTGTAACTTTTTTTATAAAAAGTTCAAAATATATCTTATCCTACAAAGTAAAATCAAGAGTAAAAGCAAAAAATATTTACAAAAGGATTTAACATAAATACAAATCTAAATTATGTGTTTTCGCAAAACATAAATACATCTTACTTGTAATTACTTGTAACCCAAAACATACACCCAGGATTTGTACATTTAATTTATCATGGATAATAGATTTGACTATCTCTCAAAATAAAACACGCCACTTGCGTTCTTGTCCAATTTGCCACCTCCAAGTTTTATTCTTTTCCCAAATAGACTTAAGATCTAATTTATAACCACTTTTTTAGTTTATTTCAACAAATTTCAAATTCAATTTTATGATAAGCTTTCTTGTAATATGAATTTATCAAATAAGCCCTTAATTAACATAAATCAAATAAAAAATTCGCGTGATATGTTATATTAGACCTCGTAAATTAATATATGATGTTGTATTAAATTTTGTGTTTGGCAAGATAGTTGGGTAGTTTTATAAATTTATTTCACAAAAAGTAAGCTGTTAGAGGTGTTTGTCTAGAGGGTTTTGTTAAGCTACTTACTTCAAAGCTCTAATTTAATAAACAAATCGAAATAGCTATTTATAAGTTAGTTGTTATATATATTATTTCTCCTGTTTTATCCCGGTTATTTTGAAAAATAATAAATTTTTTATTTCCTTCTAATTAATATCCTTATTTCCAATAAATTATATGTGCATGGTTAGACTTTTTACTTTTTTTTTTAATTTTTAAAAATATACTTAATAATATTGAAAAATTTATATTTTAAATTAAATTTTATATTTAACATGAAAGGGATGCTTGAAAGAGATATACAGTAAACAAGGGATAAGTTGTAACCATTTTGGAAATGGTGAATCTTGTCACGTACCTTGCAATACTGTTACTGTAAGTAGCTACTATGGCAAGGTTGCTTCTCAAAACAAGACAAAGAAGCGAAGGCGCAGGAATGAATAAGAAGAGAGTATAGTTTAGGAGTGGATAGAATGGTAATTTAGTCGTTGTAATATATATAACTTAATTTCACTCGGTACCCCCAACATTGTATTTCATTGTGTTTCATAAAGATGAAAAAAAGTACAAAAGTGTAGAGAATTAATTGAGAAATAAAATAAAAATAAAAATAATTTAATAAAAAGAAAATTAAGTAAAATTTAATTTTTATCTAAATATTTTTGTAATAATATATAAAATAGCTTTATAAAAAAATAATTAAATTATGATATTTATTATAAAAATTATCTTATATATCATTATATATATATATATATATATAATATTATAACACATCATCCATATACAACAAACCGAATAATGACCAATGACTATTTCTGCACATTTTTTTTTAGAGGAAAATACTTTTTTTAATAGGACCACGTTAATTTCTTTATAATTTCATCTTCTTACCTCTTTTCAAACATATTATATTTATTTGAACTTTCTCACACTTTTCAACACTTTCTACCCTTTCTCTTCTATTTTACCCTTTTCAAACACACCCTTAGGGGATTACGAGTTTTACATGAGAAGAAAGAGGTATTTTTTCATTTTATGCTATTCCATTTCTTTTTCTACTATAATTTATGTAAAATCTAAACAATGGAACAAGATAAATTCATCGGTACATTATGCAGATATTCCATGGAGTTTTGTAAAATTTCAATGACATTCTTTATTTTTCATATCCTTACATTAACTTCTTAATTGATTGAGAGAACATAAATTAATATTCCTTAAATATTATATTATTTTTTAATTTCTTTAAAATATTACACTATGACTTCCTATAACTATAAGGTTAATTATTTATCTACAATTTCATGAACACTGATATTAACATAATTTATTCTAAATTCATTTCATTGTGACTCAACTCCAGTCATCTTTGTCAATCCAAACAAAGTCTTGCAATAATTTTAAGAAGTTTTCAATCAATTTTAACCTATAGCTAACCAGATTAGTCCTTAAAAAAAACCTATCAGTAGCCTCCAATTGTTACACAATGGGTGGCAAAAGGCCGGAGGAAAAGAATTGAAGCCACATGACACAAGTTAGGGCTAAAAGATTGGTTGGAATTTATAATAAGGTAGTTCTATGAGTGTGATGTAACATGTTGCAAGAGAAAAGACAGTATAATAATAATAATAATAATAATAATAATAATAATAATAATAATAATAATTAATTGCAGTTAATGGGTTGGTGGCACTAGAGTAGAGTAGCTAAGGTAGCTCTTCTATCTCCTCATGATTTGAAGTACAAATCACTGTGTCTGTGCTGCTTTCATTCATCAAATTAAATAAAAGAGGACCACTCCATCTCCTCTCATTGCAAACCTTTTGCCTAAATAAGTTTCTCCAAAATTAAATGATTTACCAAATCTAAGTTATTGCGTTAACTGTGTCGTGTTCTACTGGTACCATCGCCTGTTATGGAAACTAGACAAACTCAAGCAGATAATAGAGGCAGGCAGGGCAGTTAAGTCTGCACATAAAGTCATCAAGAGTTCAAGTTCCATCTTCCAAAATCATGTTCAAATACTAAATCTTAATATATTTGGTTCATGTTCTGAAATTAATTCTTCTCTATAATAATATACTTACCTTTATAACATTATTATTGTTTATATCTATCTCAGTAATTAATAAATATAATAAATAAATGATAAAAATGAACACAAAAAAAATCATGTGATACAAATTTGTTACGCTATCACAAACACATACTAAATTGTATTGTTTGCTGTCACACATTCATCTATGATGTTAATTTGCATTTTCTTTAGATTTTGTAAAAATCTTTTAAGTTGGAAAAAAAAGTGTGATATTTTATAGAGAACATAATAAAAATGTACAATTACTTCTAAAACATCGATTTTTTGTCTGTATATCTATCTCATAATTAATGTAATAAATAAATTTATAGAAAGATGAACACAAATAATGATGTAGTACAGTGCAAGTTGTTAGACATATTTTTTTTAAGTGAATATTTTGTCATTCGTATATTTTGCAATTTATTATTCTTTTATAAATTGGATATGTACTTTGTAAAAAGAAGAAATTGGGAGAATAGTATACAGATAAAATGTACAATTAAGTCAAAAATTTATATTAAATTTTACTACTACCCATTTTTTTAAGAATAAAACTATTCGTACATAAATTATTTCACTTTAAAATCAATTCTATCTAAAAACAATTTTGTAAACCTTCAACCATATACGCACATCCACATGGTTTTCTGTGGCAGGTTAGATAGTGATGTTAGTGTCTGTATGCTTTATATTTTAATAAAAAAAATATTTTATGGGATTAAATTTACCCCTTGACAGTAACTGTAATTAAAATATACGTTCAAATACAAATTTTACATTGGAAGGTATGTGAAGCAGAATGCATGTGCACAAATCGTGCTAGTAAAACAGAAAGAAACAAGAAGAGCAGAGTATAAAATCTGAAATGGGAAGGGTAACAAGGTTATTCCAAACACACATATGTTGCCAAACGAGTGATATATATAGCATCATAGCTCCTATTTCACACAAGAAGCTTTTGTAAATATTTGTCTTGTCGACTATTCTCCACGAGATTCTGGGTATGGAAAATGTGCAGCTTTATTTGCAACTTGACCATTTTGTTTCAGGATTGGTTCTGGTCCTACTTGAGATTCCTGTCTAACTAGAAGGGAACCCTCTACTTTAGCCACTCTGCTTTTGCATGATAGCATGTGCCATTGCCCGTGACTTTTGTAAGCATCACCAGGATGTTCCTTTTTTTCTATCATGCATGCAATTCTTTCAGCATTTTAACAATTCTTCAATGCTTTTGAATTTGTCTTTTCTTTTTTCCCGGTTATGTGGTTTCACTTCTAATAATTTCATTTTGGAGTTTATCACTTCTTGCATCCGAGGATTGAGGGGCCATTTAAAAGCACCCATGTATGCATGCAGTGTACGACAAAGGTTTATATAGTTTGTTTGTACCAACTACAGAAAATTCTGATTCAAGCATTTGAGACCAAAGTTCACAAGAAATTGACAGATAACTCAACATTTTCCCACAGTCGTTGTTCTATAATTTTATTAATGAATCTAATGTGTGTTTTTTAAAGTTAATGCGTCAGCTCTCATGCTCACATGGTGTACGAATAAGGAGAATCTAGAGATATGTTGGAGTAACAAGCTAATTAAGATGCATGCAATTCCTTGAGGTAAAGAAAAAGGATGTTTAAGCAGTTTCTTAGTTGAAATGCTCTTATCTTGTAACAATAGTAAGGGATCCTGATCACAGTTTATTTGAAATGCATGCAGAAGTTGGTTCAACAAAAAAAGAGGGGGGAAAAAGCAAAGCAAAGAAACAGGTACCTAAGTGCTCCCTAAAAGGACCCCCCTGGTTAAAATTCAATTCTAGGTTGTATTCTTACATCATGTATACCGCACCAAAAGAGAAAGGAAAAAGAAACACCACAAAGTGTAAAGGGAAAAGGACAAGAGGGGGAAATATCTTGTTCTTTAAAGAAACTCAGTTGTGGGGGAATAGGAATCTAAGGGGATCCAAGCACTTGTAGACAAATCAGTTTCTCAAGATAAAAATGACTTGCCCTTTATGCAATGGAAAAAGAAGTTGAACCCTGAGACATCCCTAGAGCCATCCCAGCCAATAGCAAACAAGGACAAGACTCTCATTGTCCATCATCCACACCTTCAGCCCCTCCTCCCCCACCCATATATATGGCACACTACTCTCTTCAATGTGTTTCAAACTCTCAGGGAGTTTCAAAAAGTAAAGTAGGGAACAGAAAAAAGGGAGATAGAGAGAGAGAGAGAGACAAGGTAGGTTCAGGTAGAGTTTTCTACAAAGCTAGCTTTGCTTCATGCCAAATTGCAAGCTATTTGGTTGTTTCCCAAGTGAAAACAGTAGCCAAAGGAGCTGAGGGGTGTTTTTGTCTTTTGGGGGGACATGGAAGGCCTTGTGTTCCTTCTTGCTGTATATATGCTGCTTAATTAATTGCTTCTACCTTACTTGCAGATCACTTTCACATCTAGCCTCAGCACAACCAATTATCAAGAGCACTGATTTGGTCATATCTCTATACATCTTATCTTATCATCTTCCATGCTGCAAAGATAGATAAGACTAAATTTGTATCTAGTTTGTGTATCACTGTTAGCATACTTGGCATGCCTGGCTCCCTGTATGCCATTTGCAGAGTCCATCAAAATAGTGATGGCCTTAACAAATGGCGTGCGAGGAGCCATGCATGTTATATGTTATTTATTAATCAAGAGGAAACTAAATTATTTTGTTGTTTTTAAAATTAAGTTCATTATATACATGTTTGAATACAAGTTTAGAAAAATTTGTAAGACTTTTATTTATTGAAAATAATAGTTTTTGATAGAGAAAATATCAAAAAAAAAATTCTAAACTTGTATCTAAACATTATTTCCGTATATCTTTAATTCATTGTTGATTTCCTGGTCTTTGTTACTTTTCATTTATTTATTTTTTTCTGTTTGGAGGGATGTAAAGGAAGAAGTTTGAATGGTCTCCAAGTCTCCTTTGGGTATTTATTTTTTTCTGTTGGGAGGGATGTAAAGGAAGAAGTTTGAATGGTCTCCAAGTCTCCTTTGGTATCTGATTAATGATTAATCTTTTAGTTATTATGCTTCATTGTGTTTGATTGTCCTTAACCTACCTGGTCCAAAATGTTATTGACTTGGCTAGATAGTAGAGGTAAGTGTCATTAGGAACATAGGAAATAAAGAAAATATTTATGTTCTGATATTTGTTATCCTTTCTTATCATTTTATAGGTTAATTGACATCTTCTGTCTTCCTCCAGTAAAGATCATTGTCACCTTAAAGTCGATGCATCCACCAATCGTTTTCATTGTTGTGTTGTCATTTTTTTGTTGTTGTAAATGACCAGTTAACATCTTGGCCATGTTCACATTTGTTCATATTCAATACATTTCAACTCAAATCAGACACCCGATTTTGAGTTATTCACTGGTTTGAATTTGTTGACAAATAGTGGCATCGAGAATTGAATACCTACAAATATATGTACCAAGCTTTTGAGAAGAATTATATTACATACCAGGTTTTTTAATTAATTTTTGTCATTTTTCAGCTTTTATTACTCTTTATTCATTCAAGTTGTGTGTATTTGTGAGGGAAGTGTTGTTTGAGTTGCAACATGTTTTCATTAATTTTTCACTTTTTAAGTTGCGAGAAGTTTAAGTCAAGCAGAGTCTGAAGGTTGGAAAAGGACGACTGCCTGAATCCATCATGTGGTAGGAGTCCAAAAAAAAAAAATAGCTCTAATTTGTTTTAATAAAAGAATTAACTCTTTAATATTAATTTCAACTTTTAATTAATTAATTTCAAATTTCAAACTTTTAAAGGATTAAACATTTAAGGTATCACATATAAGTTTTTCCAATATAAAAGATATAAGAGTTAAAAGAGAACTATAGTTTTGCATACTAAATTATAATCTTTTAAAAAACGTATTTGATTGATAATAGAAGACAATATAAGAATTAATTGAAGAAAAAAATTGATACATTTTTTTAAGATTTGTTAGTATAAAAAAATATTATTTTTATTAAAATTACATATTTATTTTTATATAATACATATTTAAATTTAAAAATATTTATATACAACGGACCCTTATTTATTATATCGTTCTAGATCTACAAAATATTACGATGGACCTTAATTTAAGTGAGTTAAGTTTGGAGCTTCTCATATTAGAATAATTCAAAATTTAAAGAATGTATACAGGTATATTCATACTATGCTAACAATGTCTTTACATTGAGGACTGAAATCAAACTTTGGCACAGCATCTTATGGAACATGAAAGATGCTCATGATTGTTTATCATTTTTCACTTTGTACAATGCACATGGCGCACACCAGCTATTGATAATGCACTTCAAGAAGACCTGTAGTTGTATAGCTACAAAACAAAATCTTGGTTATGGAACTTTCCCAATCCAGTTTTCAGCTACAAACTTCATCAATTGACAAAAACATAGGTGCAAAGCTAGATTCTCCAATTTTACTATTAGATTTTGTTAACAGTATTTTCAATATCAGCTTTTACTTTCAGTATGTTACATATTTGACGAATAAACTCTAGCGTCTAAAATAATTTAAATAATTCAAAGATTAATAGTATAAATTCTGTTCACACAATTCAGAATGGTACACAAAAGAAAAAATTGTATAGGGTTGCACAGTTTTGAACTATTGATTTTTAATTTTTTTTATTTTTGAAAACAAACTATTCATTGTTTATCATATCAACAAACACAAATAATTTTTTTCCTTTCCTTCCGTTTTTTGTTAAAAATTAGATAACTTTACATATTGAGAGTTAGGATCAATGTTCCTGTGCTGTTTACACACAAAACTTCAAAAAAAAATTTGTACACTTATAATTTGGGTAATATAAAAAGGTTTTAAAATCAAATTATACTAAAACAATGTTGTGTGTTGGAACATATTACCATTTGTCACGATAAACCTACGCCAGAAATTTCAGCTTTTGTCGATTTAAAGAATTTCTTTCGGCAATTATAAAACTGTGACAATGATTTCAAAGGAAAAATTATTTAGTAATTTATTTTTTTAAGAGTATTATTTTAGTAAATCTCCCGGTACTAGACTACCAAATGCATAAGGAAGATGCAAAAATCCATCAAATGCATCATACATCATGATAACTTGATAACTTGATAGCGTATAAGATATTGTTTTGATCTTTTGGTGTCTACGAAGACAAAAAGTTATTAAATATTTTTAAATTAAAATAAAAATTTGGAATGAATGTATGAGGTCTAATATTTTAGATCGAATAATGCACATTAAATATATATTATATATAATTAAAATTTAAAATAAATTATGTAAATAAAAGATTTTTTTTGAATAGTCAAAATATATATATATATATATATATAATATAATTTAGGTATAAGGGGTATCAATTCATTAACAACCAGCACAAAAATAAATAAATAAACATTTCTCAAAGTTAATGTAGTTATTTTATATTTACTTGCATATTGTCAAGTAAATGACCAATAACCAAATCCATCAAAATACAAATGTCAACTAAGTCATACACCTCCCATTCATATTTAACAGCAATGAATTAAACAATTGATTGGATCCACCAACCAAAAGAGAAAAAATAATCAAAATTTAGTATCACTGCCTTGATCCAAGTCCATGTAGAGAACATGACATTTTGCACGATAGTACCCTTATCAAACCTCTTACGTTCAAACACACACAAATTCCTATACCCTAAAATATTATATATAACAACATATTAAATAATTTGTCTAGCCTCCATTTTGCTGCATGATCCTAAAAATAGAGTATGCTGCCAAAAGTGCTCAATAGGTGAACCTAGAAAAGTAGTTGTTGCCACCTCTAACTTGTACCACCACATCCTCCTATAGATTACAAAATGGATAAGAAAACTCATTATTTTGAATATCAATGTTTCTCTCCCTTAGATTGTTGCGTGATGGAAGGTTATCAAGGAAGCATCTCCATATCATTATTTTGGCCTTAACAAGAACCTTTAATTTTCATGAAATCACAAACACCTCCTGAAGATGATAATTTCTATCAGGTTCATTAATCAACCTATATGTTGAACTAACAAAGTAGGAATTACTATTATCATATGGCCAAACTCCACCTGTCACATTCCAACTTATTTGGATGCTTGTACACCAATTATTGTTCCAAGCTTTGCACTATTTCCTCTTCCCAATTGAACCATTCTTTTCTCCACTTCCACTTATCACCCACCCAAAAACCCATATTAACAATATTGCACTCTTTTTGTTCTTAATTGACAAACAATCTAGCATAAGAGTTTGCTAAACACTCTTCTCCTATCCATTTATCCTCCCAAAAATTTTGTTTTATCTCCCCTTCCTACACTCCACACCATATTATTGTCAAACCACTTCATCTGACTATCCCCTTCACAAACCTTCCTTAAGTCCCTCCACTATATTGATGAGCATTTAGCATAGTCATCTTGAATCAACCCTTTTTATCCTCCATATCTAGACTCTGAAACCTTACACCAAAGAGTATTTGAGTTGTGAAACATTCCCCATCCCTATTTAGCTAACAAAACATCATTAAATAGATTCACCTTCTTAATATCTAATCCACTATGACTCTTTGACTACGTTATCTTTACCCACTTAACCCACACCATCTTCTTACTCGCCTCACATCCACCCCATAGGAAATCTCTTTGAATTCTACTTATCCTTCTTACAATCCCTCTTGGCATCCTGAAAAATGACATATAGTATAGTGATAACGAAGTTATAACCAACTTAATCAAACATAACCTTCCAACAAATGAAAATTGCTTTTGTTTCCACAAGGACAATTTCTTTCTCAGTTTAACAATGATTGGGTCCCATGTTCCTTCCCTCTCGAGGTTTGCCCCAATTGGAATCTTTAAATAAACGAAAGAAATTTGCAACATTCTACAATTAAACAAATCCACCCATTTCTCAAACCTTCCCCTATCCACCCCAACTCCACCAAAACAACTTTTCCAAAAATTAACTTTAAGTCTAGAGACTATCTCAAAACACTTCATAATGACCTTTAAACTCAACGCATTACTCACTAATACCTCACCTCATAATATTTACTTATGTAAATAAATAAATATTATGTTTGAATATATAAATTATATTTAAAATTAAATAAGTAAATATTTTTAAATATAAATTATATTTTACATTTATGATAAATAATTTATATTGTAGTACAAGATTTTTTTATTAATAATTTATTTAAAATATTAAAATTTATTTCATAAATAGTATGATAAAGAAAATTTAAATTAAATACAAAGTTTAAATAAGTCTTAAAAATTTTCTCATAAAAAAATATCTTAAAAACACTTTCGCGTAAAATAATCATTCATATTTTATATGTAGATTGAAATTTTAATTAAATTATACTAGAAGGGTGCAAAATAAATATATTAAAAAATATAATTCATATATACCTTATTAAACTAAAAAAATTTGCCCAATCGATTTACTAATTATTTTTTTTATGGATGAAGCTTCAACCTAAAAGTCAACCCTGCTCACGAATGGGTTGTGTTAGAAAAAAAAACAGTCACATACCTTTTCTTCCATTATCTTGATGTAACTTACCGGCCAACATAGAAGTTGATTTGGTTGACTTCACTTAACCCATTTTTCTTTTTTACAGTTTTCGGTATCTACACATAAGAGAGTTGGTTTAGATTTAGAGTTAATCACTTATATACTGTTAGTATAAAATCTTTTTTACATTGATAATTAATTATATCTTTTAATTGTGTTATATCATTATAAATATATTTATTTTTAACAGTGACATGACACGATTAAAAGATATAATTGGTTGTCGGTGTAAAATTTTTTTACACTGACAGTATATAAGTGATTAACTCTTAGATTTATAGTCTACTTAGGTAAACTTTTTCTTAAAATAGCTATAAAAGAGAAGAAAAAAAATATTTTTTTCATAATTAAAATTAGTTTAAGTATGAAGTAATTTTTTTATTATTAATTTTATCCACAACGCACTATCTAATCGAATGTAACTGAATTTCTAACTTTTCTCTTTACATGTACGTTACCCTTCCGGTTGATTTCTAAAAAGAATTTTATTTGAGGTGATATGCAATAAAACCAAACAATAATAGTTATTTGAATGAAACCTGGAAGTTAGGCTAAAATGCATATCAAAATTTCAACATGTTGGTGGGAATTTACTATCCACAATCTTCATCCACATCCATGCCATCTTTAGTCATTCTCCTCGTAGCCCCTACCATTACCATATTGTAAAATTTTCCAATTTGCCTTCTTTAATAATTCTTTCATTATATATGCATGATAGAATAAGGAAATAATAAAATTAAAAATCATGTTATATATAGAAAGACATTATTATAATTTAAAAATGATGCCCGTAAAAAAGAGCCCTAACATGAATATATCTGTGTATAAAAGAATCCATTTAGAATCATAAAACAATTCATTGGAATTGGACCACAGGATCCGCACTCTAAACTGCCTATAAAAATGTTGACGCAGCATGTCACATAGTATATAATCATCTCTATCAATCATTAGTTTCTTTTGTATACTTCTGTAACATGTTTAAATTGTCCCATTTTGACATTAATGAAATATTTTCCAAAATGATGATTGATGATAAGATCTATTTAACGGGCAAGATTGGTGGTACTCCATCCGGAGGAGTCTGCAAAGGTTGCTGCAGTAACACTTGATTCTTCTGATGAATTCTTTTGCCTCCTCATTCTTGCGTTTCTGAGATCATTCACAAATCCTGGTTGTGAAATAATAAAGTCCCTCGTGTCAATATTGTTGCTCAACATGTCTACAACTTCTGACATTCGTGGCCGAAGCCTCGCAGTTTGTTGCACGCAACGCAGCCCCACCATTATGAACCTTTTCGCTTCTTCCACGGGGAAGTTCGCATTCAAAACTGGATCCACCATTCTCAGAAGATCATTAGCCTCATACGCTGCCCAAACCTGCAAACATGTTCACACCATTTAACATGGACATGTTCAAAACAATAAAACACGTTAACCCCATTTTGTTTAGGACTAAACTACAATAGACATTGTCCTTGTTGCTTTCTATTTTGGAATTTTAGCGTTGAAATTTAATGAAATCATCTATTAACAAGTTAAAACTCTAACTTTAATTAACATCCACATCACCTATAATACTACTGTATTGGATATAAGTTTTGTCCTTCCATTTTTTACACAATACACTTGTTTATTTGTTCAATTTATTATTTTTTGTATGCAATAAATCAGAGAATAGGTTTCTTGATTCAACTTTCTTACCCTCTCAACTATGAAACGTTCCACGTGTTGATGCGGATCTACCACTGGTTGGCCACTGACAATTTCTAAAAGTAGCACTCCAAAACTATAAACATCTGTTTTTCGTGTCAAGTGACCAGAACTGGCATAATCTGGAGCAACATAACCTCTGTAACGTTTTTAAGAAAATAGTAGAAACCCCATTAGTGACTTAAAAGGATCCAAACTTATTTTATTTACTCAAAGGGGTTTCATGTTTCACTCACAATGTGCCTGCAACTTGGGTACTGATGTGGGATTTTTCATCTCTTAGTAGCTTGGCCAATCCAAAATCTGAGACTTTTGGTGTAAAATTTCCATCAAGAAGAACATTGCTGGATTTGATATCTCTGTGCACAATATGGGGTTGAATTTCCTCATGGAGAAAGGCAAGCACACTGGCCACACCTATGGACACATCCCTCCGAACTTCCCAGCTGAATTTCATCCTACTTTGCTCTGAACCTATCAAATATCAATCATAATCCGTAAGCAAATCAAAAGATAATCATGTAGTTCAAGACCTACATTATTAATTCTAACACATGGAAGCTTAAAAAGTATTCATAAGGTCACCTAAGAAAGTGTAACGAAGGCTATTGTTTTCCATGTAATCGTATACTACGTATCTGTGGGATCCTTCTACACAACACCCTCGAAGAATGACTAGATTTTGGTGCTTGATATTTGCTAGGGTAGTCAATTCTGCCACAAACTCCTTCTCTCCTCTCAAGGAATCTAGCTCAATCGAAAGCACTTTTACAGCCACCAAAGTTCCATCCCGAAGTTGCCCCTTTACAATTCACCCAACCCTTTTCAGATTCAGCTCTCAATTAATTGTTAGAATCATCAAATTGTAGAGTTCTTCAATAGCCACATGAAAATAATGATAATATACATAACCTTGTAGACAGAGCCAAAGCCTCCTTCTCCAACCTTTTCCGAGGGATGAAAACCACGTGTGGCAGAATTCAATTCTCTGTAGGTGAATACGCGAAAGTTTCCATCATTATCTTCCTCTGCCTCTTCTGTTGGACAATTAGTAATTGCATTTACAGATCCAATCCATAATTCTACCAAGTTATAAGATCAAATGTGATGGAAAACCAAATAAGTGTGGGATGAAAAGACATTAATTAACATGTTTGTACCGTGCTTGGTTTGTTCTTTGACGGATGCTGAGAAACAAGGACAAAAGGAACAAGGAATCTTCATGCCTCGAGACAAGTTAGAAAATTCCTAGGATCTTGGATTTGGGTGTGTGATTCGTGAAGGTTTTGGAGATGGCGATTGTGTAAAGGAAATGACAGCCCATAGGCGGCACACCAAAGTTTCTGATTTCAGCTAAGTCTTTGAAAAATTGACATAAAAACTTTATCTTAATTTCTTTGTTTGACACATTCTCTTGTTTACTAGCTAAAGCTACTCCATGTTGCAATCTCATTCCATTTGGAAGTTACTTCGATTTTATATCTGCTTTTGGTGGATCACGGGTGAAAACGATACAACATCCAACTTTCCCATGTTTTTTAAATTTAGTTTGACCCCGCATAGTTTTTAAAAGGCTAAAAATTTATTTTGGTCCTTTATAATAATTATTTGTTTCAATTTAGTCTCATTTTTATTTTTTGTCTCAATTTTGTCCCTAATAAATTAATTGGTTTCAATGTCGGACTTCCGTCTAAATTATTTAAACGGAGTTAACTGTTTGTCACGTGGATGCCACGTAGATGCATAGGTGGATGTCACGTGGATGCTAGATTCCTTGAAAACACCTAGAACCAGAACGGCCCGTTCTGAAACCAGAACGGGCCGTTTTGGGTGCACTATTGGTGTGTTAATTTTGCATCTAAAACGGGTCGTTCCATATGCAAAATTAACACACCACCAGTACATCAGAACGGGCCGTTCTGG